GATACGCGCTAAATATTTGGGCACTAACACATCTAAAAGGGTTTTGCACTACTTCTCATCCACTACTGTAATTAGAGGCTTTGTCATACAGGTCTCAAACTGCAAAGTGCCAGGAGACCTCTGGTTCGGGGCAGAACACTCCCGGAAGCTAGAGATGATGACCCTTTGCCCCATGGCGCGCGAATTAGAGCCTCTGTGCACCACTGCGATCCGCGCGTCCGCATAGCGTAAGCAAGGCCGTGGCACAGCATACCTTGCTCTGGGGAAGCTGGACAATGCCTCCAGCGACGCCGAGGCCGGGGGAGCTGTTTTTGTCCAACGAGCGATGTCCATAGCAACCTGTACGTTCGTCATGTTAGACTCTTGATGAATCAAACCCTGCCTATATAAGAGGAGCTTGAACTCTCAATGACCGTGTTATGTGGGGGCCGCACTTTGCACCTGATCAGAGTCATAAGGATAGGGTCGATGCGTTCCAGTTGAAGCCTTAAGCGGGAGTCGATGGCCAAGATTTATACTAGTACCACGTGTATCACCTGGGCCAATTCATAGCAAGTAATTCCCTTTGGTAGCAACATGTCTTGATCGTCGTTTGGATGCCACCAGTTGAAAGATTGAAAAGAATTGCCAAACACGGATGGCAACATCGGCTACCCGGCTACCCGCGAGCACACATCACATAGCAGAAACTAAGATATGAAATGTGCATACACGAGTTGGCTCGATAGGAGACAGGTGACAGCGTACTGGTAGAAAGCTAGGGTATGCTGGTCCCCTGGTTTGTTTGTTTGTTATTCCATCTCTCGAAAATTTGACCGGAACCTGTCGCAGATATTGATACAACTGTGTTTCTGCTGCAATCTCGTCATCGTTTTGGATGCTAGAGCGATCAATTTCAACGTGGGCACACTTTCGTCATGTTTTAGCCGCTTCATCAACAGCTTGGTGACCTAGAAAATTCCGTTAATCTAAACGTGGCGCTTCCTCGACCAACCTGGGTGACTTGGACTTGATGACTATGTCCTGAAATATCCCAAGAGGCAGCCAATTGAGCAAGAAGGTCAAAGTTGGCTTGTCTTTACAAGAAAGATTCAAAGATGGGTCGCTACGAACATATTGCTGCATCAGAACAAAGTATGCGGATATTGCTCATGAAGGCAACCAACCAACCTTACCACCGCTGGGCTTTGTTCCCAAAGCTACAAACTTTGGTCCGGCCTTGTGTTTTTGTGCGCATGGGCACTATATATATAATTATATATATATATATCCTTGATGTACAGCAGTTTTTGATAACATACTTCCGTGAAGCACTTCCATGGTGTTGTAACGTGAAGTGGGCGACTTGTCCCAAGCCGGGTGACTTCTGCTGTGTTCCCATGTAGCCAGGTGACTTGCGTTCTTCGCCCGGTGGACTTAACGCATGTGCGGTCAGTAGGTTGACTCTTCGCCAGAGGATCATGGAACGCTTCCGGAGGAACGGTCATGCCTTACAAAGCATCCGAAAGGATCATGCCTTACTGCCTGCCCCGAAAAACCTGGTCGATAATCTGTATGGAGTATATATATATATATACACTCCTTGAAAGAATGAATTGGAAAAACCTCCCGCCTGGTTCGGTATTCGGATTTCATGGTCATCCTTTTGGGGCGCCATCCATGTTGGCCCATGATTCTTCCAGGGAGTGTATGGTGCTGTAGCGAGGCATACAGAACCAATCAAGGGAGGTAAGACAGGAACTCCTGCTGGTCCAACCACCTGCACCTTTCGACTGCAGGGACAGCCCCTCCAGAATCCGCTTTCACGGTTTATGGATGTTTATGGTGTTTTTCCCTTCCAAGAAGCAGAATTCAGATCTCCAGTCCAAGAAGGAATCAGGGGTCACACCCTGGCAGCGACATTCAGATCTCTACATTGCTTTCAAGATCTCGGTTTCATGAGAGAACTGTGAGATTGAGTGTTCGAACACTCAGGCAGCTCTCAAGCTCCAGCGTGATAGTGGTGCAGCCTGGGGGCTTCTGGGTGTGGCTTGATGGAGAACTCGGGAGGTGTGGCTTTTGTGCATCGCCTCGCAGAGATCGCCCATAAAATCACCGGATCTCGAGAGTCGTCGGGCTTTTCTCCCTCACGTCTGTGTTTGCCCTCTTGGAACAGCTGCATCACTACAGTCACTAAATCATACTAAATCATATGTGTTATGGGGGAGGAAGCGACCGTTGGTTGGTGCGACGCCAGTAGTTCCCATGAGGACTATATGAGGACGTCACGATTCCAACGAGCCATCGATTTTAATCGAGATTCCCTCCAGAGTGACCATTTGCATCAAGCACACTGAGTCAAGCGCCAAGCACCACGCAGAACCCCAGACAACATTGTATAGTTAAAACATGTTAAAGGATGGCTTTGCCTAAACAACGGACGTTGATGGTGAACGGGTATGGACAGCTTGTTAACAAGGCCTTATTGTATTTTATTGTAGGGGTCAACGAAAAAGACCTTCGCTTTGTAACGATCGGTCTTGCCAACCAAAACGGCCAGAATGTGGGCCCTTCAAACTTGAAAAGCACAATTAAGTCACGAATCGGTGTTTTGGACCGCCCAAAAGCAGCTGCTGCTGGACAATTCGGCCGAGTCAACCATGGTCACCCGGTTACTTGTGAAGTACGTCCGACGCCAAACTTTGGGTTGGGAAAATACAGTGGGACAATCTGAATGTTGCACGCGCGGAGGCATTATATATGACGCCAATCAATGATGTTTGAAGCATGTTGGGGCCCGCGTGATCCTTTTTCAAACCTATGGAGAGTACATCCGGTCATCCGATGCCCTGCTGGCCGCTGGTGGAAGCCAAGCACTCAGCACTCAGGCCATTCGCCAGCGGCAGAGCCTATTCCGCGAAGCGGTGGACGCTTGTGCGGCGGCCCGTCCGGTGAAGCCGAAGGAATCGAGACCACTGGGCCACGCTGTGAGCGTGCCAATGAAGTGCCAAGGCCAGGTGTCCATGGCGTAGAAACTGCAGACCCTATGAATCACTGAATCACCATGGAATGCACCCGGTTTTTTGGATCAGGGATGTCAATATAGCTGTATTTGTGCCTTCGATGCATGTTTGTTCACATCAGGACTCCGATTGGGGTCATGAGAAAGTCAGACCGATCAGAAAAGGAACAAAAAACATAGCCGGATAAACCGTCATCCCACAGCGGTGGTTTCCATGCTGTTTCCCATGTCAGAGCCAATATGAGCCAATGCTTTCTCAAGAGCTTCACGATAAGCATTTGGACGTGTTTTGGTTGGTTACAGTATCAGCCGTCTTTGATTGGCGCTGGTGAGGTGCAGAGCAACAATCGAACCATCAGATTTACATGTGGCTGTGGCGCGACACAGGACAGCGGGAACATCGGGAACACGATTTGCAGCCAAATTCTCCAGCACGATGAACAGCGTCGAGAAGAAACCAAACGCTATCGGCTGCTCCAGCAGTTTGGACAAGGAGCCCTGGAATGCGCCAAGGCAATCCGCCGGGCACATGGGGTGCACTTCCCTCATCGACCGCATGGGGTGCCACGTTGTTTGGAGCGGACGAACAGGCTTGGCCGACGATTCGGCCACGGACGATGGAGCGGCCACCAGTTCACCTCGACGATTCGGTCATTGCGCAGCCACGAACGGGTGTTGGGCGAGTGGCGCAGGGGTCCACGCCAAAGTCGTCTACCATGCGGCCAATCCGGACCGTCCCCATGGTGCACGGAAAGATTCACTGGTGAATGAAATGACCACCTTGATGACGTGGATGGCAGTGGATGGGTTGGGAAACACCACCCACAAACTGCCCCCATAGTGCCCAGGCAACCTTTTACTTCAGGTTGGAGGAGTTTGAGAGCTCTGTTGTTTGTGTGTGTGTGTGTGTTTCAAGATGTTTCGTACATTCCAGGAAGGTCACGTGTGGAACGATCATGAACGATCCACCTTCAGCCTTTCTCCCTTGCGAGTGCTTGCACACGCGGCACGATCCACGCACGCGCCTTGCCACGAAGTTCTGCGGACCCTGCTGTCGCGGACGAGGCCAAATGGCACTGAAGCTGGAACCCACGCTTTCTTGGGCCGAGCGCTGCCTCGAGGCCATGGCTGTTTGGGTGTTCTTGGAACAGGCCTTTGCATGAAAGAGGACGTTCAAATTTAATCTTCAGAGATCTTCAAAGAGTCTTCATATGTGTTGTGCTTGCTATTCGGTGGCCAGTCTTAGTCTTTGCGGGCGGTGTGTCCACTGGAGACGGGCCCAGTGGTGTAGGGTTGTCCATTGGTGAAGTTTTAGAAGCGCAGCTGATACTTTACATGCCTCATGTTTCACTTTTTCTTGCTTGAAGTAATTGCTGACCCCCCCAAAACAGATTGAGGTCAAATCCGTGCGGACTGTGTCCTTTTTGGAATGGGAAGAACCCGACCAAACCGTCGGCCGAACCCGGGTGAACACCGGTCGTTGGGTTCCTCGGTCGTCGCTGGATTGCAGGCCTCCTTGGCAGAACTGGAACAGGACCTGACGAGCGAACGGAGCACTCGGAAGTCGAGCACTCGGTCGTGCGCCCCGTCCGTCCGGTTGGAACGGGTTATGGTGAGGTGTTTGGCTCCTGCTTTGAACCCCAAACACCTTCGATTGGAGTTTCAACACTTAGCTGGATGGGATCCAGAATCCAATTTTATTGCGGGAGGCATCGGGAGTCTGGAGTTATCCAAAGTTACCTTCCTGAGTTCGACCAGTTCGCGCGTGAGCAGGTGGCCTTTATGGCAGATTTAACCGCACATATTTGACCAGGCTTGTCCACTACTCATTCTGAAACAAACCCGGGTGGCTCTGGACCTGAGGGAAGGACCTCCTCGCAATCTCTTGATTTGAAAAAACAAATGAGCCATGAAATAGACAATGCCTGGGGTCCCCAACTCCTACTCTGTGAATCTCTGGTGACACCAGTAACATCTCACATGTTTCAGATTAATGCATGTTTTGGGCGATTTGTTTCCACATTCAAACGTCCGCAGAACATTGGTCAGTTCAAAGATCCACCGTTGAGAGCTTCGAAGATTTGCCATGGGTTCCAGCAGCTCCAGCCCGGCGGATGGCCCCACCCAGTTGGAGGACAAGTACTATCCTGAGCCTTGGCCGAGGAACATGTTGCTGTGAGTCAAAACCGGGAGCCCGGAACTCACCCTGCTAGGTTGACCCGATAGTCTATTCATGTTTTTATTCATCTATAAGCTGTTCATTTTCTGCTCAACCAGGGTCCCCCAGTTTTGACCCAGAGCCATGTGGATTCCTGCTTCGAAGTGATCATTTGCGGATCCCTAGTCACGAGCCTTTGCGGGTTCTTTTGATTCTTCGTTATCAAACAAACCCTTTGAACAACGAAGGCCAACGTTTGTTTCATGTTCTTCGCTTCCCCCCGAAACGCCGTGTCGGTGCCGTGCCGTGAAGTCAGCTTGGATGTTCTTAGTGGGGACGGCAGCCGGCAGCGTCAATCGATGACATTCGATGCTTCGATCTCATTTGGGGATGGGGTTTGGATCCGGTGTCTGCGACCGGTCGCGGCCGCCTGGGTTGGTTGACCCCATGAGCGCGTGGTTGAGCGCCTGGGACGTGGGCGACCTCATGGGATCCGAGAGGTGCCGCTTTTTGGGTCTGAACCAGATATCGACTCCATACCAGGACCCACGCGCTCGGGGTGGCTAATTAATGGACACCCCGAATCACCTCTAAGGACCTATAATTAGACAGACACCCCTTAGGGGGTCCTGGTACTACTCCATGTTGTTTTTTTCCCAAAGGGCATCCATGGGTGTATTCCAGCGCCAACCGGGTCTGACGTGCCGCCACTCGTAGAATTCGACGTGTTGTTTGTTTTTTGTGACTTGGGAAAAGGAAGTTTTTTGGGGCGAATCAGTGGTTTTTTCAAGGCAGCTTACGGTCCAGCCCGAAAGGTAGATGATATACCTGCAACAAAAACTCAGTCAAGACCGAACGTGCATGGAAGCGCTTGTGGACCTTGTGATCCGGATCCAGCCGGGACTGGCAGAGGGTTGCTCCAAAGGCAGGGACGACCCTCCAAACCCACCGCAAGCACCCGAGCTCAGGATCTAGGAACCTTATAGGGTTGATGCAGCTGAGGAGTGGATCAAGAATCCTGAGAACATCAAAGACCTCACAGGCAAAGTTGCTTTGATCACTGGTGCCGCTCGGCCTCACAGTTGGTCTGGGGGAGCTGTGAGATTCTGTGCCGTTCCTCACGTTGCAAGCCACAGTCCAGTGCCAAGCGTGGATGCCTATGGGAGTCGTAGGGTCAATGTGAATAAACTATACTATATATATACTGTAATCAAATTAGTGAGTACAGGAGCAACACGTTAACACCAATTAAATGCAAGACATATAGCACTTCACTCAACTTCTCTTGCCACTAGCACGTGACAACACTGGTGTCAACAAAAATCAAAGATACCCTTTTCCAGGGCCGTTGGAGTCCGCCGGTGTCTTATGTTTTGCCACCTAAGTCAATTCTATTCAGTCTAGTTTTTTGCCCTCACAGGTGTCCACATCCAGTGGCTTGGGCTTCTACGCCACCAAAGCTTTGGCGCTCAAAGGAGCCCCAGCCCGACCCGACCGTGTTTTCGACCCGGTCCGGGGCGTCCCTAACGCAGAAAGCCCCACGGGACGAATACATGTTCAAGTTCTGAAGTGGATAGCATGAAGAAACATATTTGTTCTGCTTTCAAGTCAGAGGGTTTGGGTCCACAATGGTCCATCTAGGTCAGGTGTCCCTTTTTGGTCGTTGCCTGCCTGCTGTCTCTGTGGCCCTGGACGTTGGATTTTCCATGCCCTGAGTTCGAAAGGGTCATCCCATGTCACATGTCATCCCCAAAAATTCACCCATGATGCTTACCGCGTTTGAACTGCTAAGCAGCTTTTGTCGCTGTTGTGGTGCGGTTTCACCGCCCTCGACTTCGACTTCAATGACACACAAGGAGCCCAATGCGTGATCACTGTGCGAAATGTGGAGAAGGGCGAAGCAGTCAAGGCCGACCTTGAGGCACGGACCGCGACCGCTCACGCGTGAGGTGGATCCAGCGGGAAATAGCTCTGAAGGTAGGTAGGCACTGACTCTCCAACACCCCCGCCAAAACTAAACCTCAGGATGTGCTTTCATTAGAGGGAGGTTTGCACAGTTGTAACATATATGAAATGTTATAACATTTTTACATGCGTCCAGTGTTGTTTTTGGTTTTTTACTTATGTTGTCCTAAACTCCTAAACCTTTAGTCTCCCTACAAAACGTGCCATTCAGGTGTTCATCCATGAAACTTACGTTCCTGAAAGGCGGGGGATTATAATGTGGTGAATATGCAGGTGGATGCATCCATGATTCGAACAGAGATCAAGGTGCTCCTTATTTTCATGGGGAACCCTTCATGTTTCATGAACGAAAACCATCCAACGCATCCACCGGTTCAAGCACCACATAAGCCGCACCTCACCATGAGGGCCAGGGCCACTCTCACGCCAAGTCTCGTGGAGGCCAAGCTGCAGGAGGATGGCGTCAAGCCGAAGATTGCCGTCATGAAGATGGACAACTGCGACTTTGCCGCTCGGTTTCTTCAAAGTGTCTTGTAGTTCATACAGTCATACAGGCACCACACTCCTGCGTGGTCATCCCACTGGATGCCCACAGGATGCCCCAATATATTCAAGTATTTGATATCCCCTCAACTTTGGTTTGATGATCCAGTGACGATGACTCCAGCCATGTGACCTGTTTGATCCTCTTCTCGCGCAGACTGTTCTATTCTATGGAGAACAGCTGAGCACCAGGCTTTTGGATGGCCGACCCAAGCACCCACCACTATGAACCACTATCAGACTAGCCACTGTTGGCCTGTTGGCCATGTTTGCTCTGTTGCCAACAAATAAATCTATAGCCTCTCTATGCCAATCATTTCATGGTGACAGTTCTTGGCCGACCGTTGCCTCGCTTTGACCTTTGTCTCGGTGAAGCCCGGCAACGTCGTAGACTGCTGAGGCCAGTATTCGTAGCTTCACTGATGAGTTCAAGAAGCAGTATGACCGCCTGGACATTGTGTGCAACAATGCTGGAGTCATGGGTTTGGATGTCCAGATCCTTGGAAGAAAAAAGAACAACACATGGAGAGCGATGGAGTAGGTGGGTCGGTTCTGTTTTTTTGTGGATCTACATGGCTTTACTTTAACCATCTTTAACCACCAATTTCCAGAGGCGCTGTGATCTTAACATTTGGGTTTTCTAGTGTAAGCACATAGGGTTAACTATCCTCCACCACAGAGTCAGGTCACGTGGAAACGGATGGCTATGACGTGCCAGGATGACGAAGGATGGCTACGACATCCAGATCCAGACGAACCACTTGAGCCACTTCCTGATGACTGCTCGTTTGTGGCCTTTGATGAAAGCCACGGCCGAGAAGTATGGCGATGTCACCATTACGCAGGCGACATGATCAGCACAAAGGGGATAGAAGAATTTGGTTTTAAAGGACCAAACCTAGAATCATTTCAGTTAGTATTTCAGTTTAAGTGCCTTTATGTTGCAGAACAAACGTATAATTTCTTAATTTTATTTACATTGTTGTGTTTCTTGCAGTTGCATAGAGGCTGGATGATGTAGGCGCCTAGAGTGTCCATCCACATTCTTTGTGTAAAGCAAGTAGCGTCGCACGTGTTGTTCGTACTGTTCAGTGATTTGGTCACGAAGAAACTCAGCGATCTCACGGGTGTCACCCATTTGACCGGAGGAAGCTTTGATGGTCGAGAGAGGTGTCTAGACATGTCTAGACAAATCAGAACCGCCATAACAACAACTGGAATCCACAGGTTTGGCGGTAGGTTACTAGTGAATGATTGATCGTTGTTTTTTCACTTGTTCATTTCAGCAAGAAGTGCACAGAAGGGGCTTCTGGGGTCTTCATTACTTTTTGATACCATCTATATAGTATGTGGCTTGCCGACCATGGCGATGCCGCGTCGTCACATCCTCGGCCGAGGTCTCCTCCGGCGCGTCGCACAAGGGCGGTCCCACGGTGGATACGGCCAACCTCAACAATCCCCACCCATCGCACGGATTTCTTCTGCCACTCGGCGGGCGTTTTGTGCGAATCTGATGAGTGCCAGTGCCGTTTGTTGCAGATGAGCCGGTGACTGCAGATACTGTAGCGGGTGGAGGGATATGTGACGGCCAGATGATTTATACAGTATTCAGACAAGTTGTGTGTTCAGTTCATGCTTTTCACTGGCTGTTTACAGGGCGGGCTGGGCTTTGCTCCCCAAGAAAGCCTTGCTTCGAACACTCATTGTTGCCTTTTAGACACAATGTGCCACAATGGTCATCGACCAGAGAGGCCCACAGCAGAGTTTGTTTGGATGTGGAAGCACACTTCATTTGACCGGTTGGTCGCCTTGATGAGTTTGCATTGGGTAAGTGATGCGCACAAAATTTCAGGCAACATGAGGACACCAGGAGGAAACCAATCAAATCAATGAAGGCATCCGTAAAGCTCATTCAGGTCCTTCAGGTTCGCAGTTCAGCTCATTTCACCAAGGATGTGCGAGTAGGTGGGGGTGTCCCTTCTGCTGAGACACACACATGTCACTTCGGTCACAGTGGATAGCGCCGCTGAAGGTATTTGGCGCCCTTCGTGCTGGGCGGCAGCACTGGCCACTGGGCGAGTCAACCATCGGGGTCGACACCGCGCATGGTCGACACACCAATGCGTTTCAGATGTTTCTGAGAAGACAAGGAAGCCAGGAGTAGATGGCTGTTACGAGCTGAAGCTGAACACGGCGTTGTTCGGATCGTGCCGAGCGTCAACCGGATCTCTTGGACGAGGCCACTGGGCACGATATGGCCAGAGTAAGCTGGCGAATGTCCTATTCGCGCAGGAGAAGTGTAAGCTGGCCGAGACATGTGTCCTCTCGAAATTTTCTATAGGGGCGACGGTTTTGTTGGGCGTTGGGGACGTTTCAGGGAGACTTCAACCACCGCATTTAGATCTTGGGTTGCAGGATTCCAGTCCAAAAGCAAACATCACCCGGATACCCCAATCTACTAGATCATCTTTAAGACAGCGATGGGTAGCTGCCTGCTAAGCTAGCGAAATCCCAAGTAACCAGGGACCTAAAGACCTGGGAGCTCCTTTGTGAGGCCACAGCTTTGGTGAAAGCAGTACCCTATCCTTGCCCCCTGAGCTGATCCGAACATGTTTTTCGAGGCAGGTGGAGGTTCCATGATCCCTTTCGACGAATCCCGTGTCCAAACTATTTTAGATCAACCCTGAGACACCATGGATGGAGAACGTTCTGCACCACTCTGAGGGTACTTGATCAATGTTTGATGCTTTTTTGGTCTCAGGTTTCTACTGAGTATAGATCTAAGCCCGCCGCCTCTGCCTTCGTGGTTTTCTCGCGCGGCTCCCAGCACGCTGCAGCGTTGGCAGGAGCTGCAGCGGCGGATCGCAGCCGTGGGCCTGCAGGACAAAATGAAGCTCGGACAAAGAACAGAATGCAGGAGGGTGCCAAAGAACATGCACTGGTTTCGTAGTTAGTAGATGACACTGTGTCACCTCAAGACCCTCAAGATGTCTTGAAAAATGGTGATTCAATAGAAACTATATAGAAAAAGTATTATATAACCTTTTTGGGGATTGTGCCATACCGGTTCTTCAAAACAAACAGCCATCTATTTGTTGAACAATTCTTACCTTCTCCACGCCCCTGGGCCCCCAACTTCAAAGTTGTATGACATCTCATGCTGAGGCCTTCAAATAATACAACCATTTTGGTTGTAGTTGCGGAGAAGTACATACCAACAGGTTCAAGGGGGTTTGTTTGCCAGACTTTGAACATGTGACGGTATGGCAGTGTTTTGGAAGAAGCCGGTCGTGTGCAATTTGCTCTTAATCCAAGCACTGCAACATGTGATCCGCGAGATCCAAGCCAGGGCGCATGACGTGTCACGTCGTCGCATGCGACCGACATCGATCCTCACCTCGATCGGAATCGGCGATCATGTTTCGTTGGTGAAGCATCGGAGAGGATGGGAAGATCTGGGAAGAGTACAGAATACACCAGGTGCTCGGTGCTTTTCTCTGTACACCAGGTGTTCGGTGTTTGCTTGAATTTGCGGCGTTCACCAGGTGTTTATAGGTTTGATATGATTTCATGTCCTCACTGCTTTAACTAATCGAGGTCGGACCTTCCTATCAGAATCCAGTGCCAAAGGGCGGACGCTGAAATCGAGTGGCCACATCAACTCCTTTATTGGTTAGCTGTTTGAAGAGTTTTGAAGTTATGGCCAGCTGCTTCAACTCCCTTTTAGAGCGTTTGAAGCCTTGCTTTTTGATGCTTTTTGGCTTCGGTAGAGTGGCATGGTGAACGGATCATAACGAATCCATGTTGACCAGTCAACAGCATGCCATCCAAGGAAGTCAACAGCATGCCATCCAGGCTCAAAAAGGGACCGGTTTGGTCGGAGTGTCCGGAATTTGATTTGTGTTCAAACAAGCTAGTCGGTTATAGCTTCACTCGGTTCTCCAGATGTTATGCTTGGACATGTCAAAACCGGTCGAGCTTAGCAAGTGACCTATCCAGAACTCTCCAGGAGCACCGGAAACTTTCAGGAGCACCGGGGCACCCAGTTCACCATGATAAGTATTGGGCTTCCAGCTGCAGTGGGCGTTTTATTCCGTTTTGAGTTATATACAAGCTGGTTCCGTTCATGAAACCGGCACCCAAGTAATATCCTGCACACCAGCATGAATTTCATGAAGCATCAAATAGAACTGATAGTAACATTATTTAGCAGTTGGCTGCCTACAACCACATATCACATATCTATTGTATTTCGTGGACTGTTCTCATGAAGCGATAGTGACAGCCAGTGAGAGTCCTCACCGATCCATGCCACGTGGACCCGCACCGATCCTCAGCTCTCCTCTAAGCCAGGCCTGGCTGCCACCAATTTACAGATCACCACGCAGAAGGGCGGTGGCATGAAGGACCACATGCGTGACCGGTGGGACGGCTGGGTGGCCCATTTGGAGCGTAGCAAAAGAAGGTCCATGTTCAACCTGTTTGGGTTCCAAGGCATTTACAGGGGGTTCAGAGTAGATGGCGCTGGTTTAGATGGACCTCCATTTTTCTGAAACCACTGTAAAAGGAAGATTGGGGGCCCGTCACCATACTACAGAACGGGTGTTCCGTCTGACCTAACCTCTTGACGATCACGCAAGAAGAAACTCGGTGCCATGAAAAGACACTAATGACGAACAAGAAATAGAAGAGTCATTCCCGCCAGGGCTCCAGTCGTACCTTCTTAGAAGGTGGGACTGGGGAGGGTGCCAGCAGCGTCCACTCATACCGAACCAGGCCGGAGGTACGACTGGAGCCCTGTTTGGGCTTGCAGCGCCCACCCTAAACCCTAAACCGTTGTTGCGATGCGCTTGTTCCGTTCGTAGCGATGCCCTTGTTACGTTACGAACCTTTGGAACTTCAGGACGGAGCAGGATATCAGAAGAATGGCCAGTCCTGTGCTGATGGTTCTCTCCCATTGGTCATGGCCGTCGCACATCCCACCCAGTGCGAAGGAGGCTCCGCTCCGTCGTTGGGCACATGCAGCACATGTACGGTAGAACACAGGAGAAAACCAGAACCGTTGAAAAACGGCCTTTGGAGTGTTTCTGCCTTCTGCCTTGGTTGCCTTCACCTCACTTGCCTTACAGTGGTAACTTGCAGTTTATGGCTCAGAGACTCAAATGGGTTTTGCCCAAACGCGCTATAACTCGCATCAGAAGCGTGTCTACCTGGTCAGCCTGACAGACATATAAAATTGTATTAATATTACTATTATTACATATGGAACGACCTGTGGGATGAACTACTATATATATATATATATGGAACGACCTGTGGGATGAACGACCTGTGGGATGAACTACCTGGCCGGTTGATGAAGGGATGAAGACATGTTTAGTTTTTTGGGGAACACCATCTCGAAGTTCCATTTGTAGTTTGGGAATGTATGTTCTGACCCAAACCTTTTTCCCTATACCTCAGTGGCCAGCCAGCAACGCCACTCGACTACTTAGTCGTCTCAGGCGGCTACTACGGTCCCCACGAGAGTCAGAAGGGCTATCCCATCAAGACGAAGAATGAGAACCCACTGGCCTATGATGAAAAAGTTGCCAAAGATCTTTGGGAAGCCTCGGAGAAGGTGCAGAAAGCCGCGGAACAAAGTGTGGAGTCAACAACTTGACCGAGACAGCCTTGTACCAGGACCTACAATTAAGGGGTGGCTAATTGACACCCTTGCTCTGTAAGGTACTATCATGTACACAATGCAGACATAGACACTCCTTGGAGTGCTCTGGTAGAGGTTTCTTCGTCGTTTACACAAAGACCATCGAAGCGCGTGTGAACAGATGAGCTATGGCACTTCATCCTGGTCCGAACAAAGTGGTAGAGCCTAGCCTGATTTGGATTATGGGGCACAGTCGTCTGGTCCAAGGACCGATCCGTATGGGATCCGTATGGGACTGATTAAGGGACCTACGGGTTTATTGATTGCCTCAAGATCTTCCAGTACTGGCTCTCACTTTAGTTTCTAGGCTTTTGTTCTCTTCCTTTGGTATGTCAAGACACAGAGGAAAACGGCATTTCAAAACCAAAATAATAAATTGGTGATTGACCATTGAGGTTCCCAAATCTTCCAAACTCTTCTTTTGCTTCTCGTCTTCAGCCCGCCGGCGCGGCCGTGAGGCGGTCGGAGAAGACTTTCAGCTGTGAGGCGCCAAAGGCCACAGCTCCGCTGGGGACACTTGGTGTCCCGGCTTTCGTTTCAGACCGAACGACGTGTGCGACGCGTTTGTCCTCCCCAGGTTCCAGGTCAACCATTGGGTGCGGGGTCAACGCCTCACCGTACAAACCATGCAAGGTGGACAGGAACACATTCCTTAAGAGAGGCATTTGTTTGTGCGTTTTCAGGGGGTCAATGAGGGGGTCTCGACCCACAGCCAAATCCCTCTTGGAATATTGTGTTTTTCTCACCAGGTTCCTGCTCAGAGCCTCCTCAGGTCCTTGGTGTGTTTCAGATCTCCAAGGAAAACTCCTTGGATCAGATTGCTTTTGCCGAACGATGTGACTGGTTGTGTGGACAGATCACGCGACCCCTTTTGCCAGACAAAAGGACGTGAAGGGGGAGGGTTCAGGAAGGGAAGAAAGACATGACACAACTGATCAACGCCTAGAGTTATGGTTTGGGCGAAGATTCTTGCTGAACCGAGAATGGACATGAAACATCTAACCTTTGCTCCACCGAACATTGCTTCTTCTACATACAAAGATGATTTGTGGTGGATCATATACTGTATGAGGTCCTTTTGACGCCCAAGAGTTCCACAAGAGTACTCAACTCTTAACAAAAATGAACATGAATTGAACATCACCACATCCAGGAGGTGTCATTCATGTTGGGCCGCTGGGCTTCCAAAATCACCATTTGGGCCTTTGCCCAAGAGTCGGAGCTGTGAAAAGCTCCTCATGCGACTCGTCGGGAAGTGTCACCATCCTCATGCTCCGAGCCCCTCGGCTCCCTCGGCGCCAGCTGCTCCAGGAGCAGCGTGAGGCCGACTCGGACGACTAGGACTCGGCCTTCGTGTTCTGGGCCGAAACCGCACCTTCTCCCCCCCGCTGGCCAAATATAACATTTGATCAAATTACATAAAACAAAATTTGAAACGATTAAATATTATGTTTTTTATTTTTTTTTAATGGCGCAGAAGGAGCCACCACTTTGCGGATTTGGACGCCCAACACACTCCGTGCGGATCTTACTTGGACTTACCGGGTCCAAGTGCAACGCTGGGCTGAGCATGCAATGTCTTGCCAGAAGCTGCCGCAGCTGCGGCCTCCAGTCAGCAACTTGAAGCTGAAGAATCACCTTAGTAGCCAAAAGGAACATGGGAACAGTAGATGATTTTTTCTTTCCTATGGTGCAGGTATACGGATCGAGCTTTTTTTGTTGAAACATTGTCAATTCAGACTGTTCTCAGGGCACGGCAGCCTACGTTGTCCATACAGTGTTAGGTTTCATTTGATGGGAGCCTTCAGTAACCTGGTGATCTGTATTATCCATTGATTTTGTTGATCAAGATCCTTACACTGTCGGTGTAAGCACAAGAGAATGGTTTCAGAAAGGTCCAATCAAATTAAAGGAACAGGTGCAGGAATGGGGAGGTGTGAATAAGTTATTAACAGACGATTTAACATGTCAGCATGTTTGTGTTAAATTCAGCGAAGGAGTTGTGAATGTTTAAGAGTGTTTGGAAAGGCCAAACCGCGGATAACTGAGGTAAAGGTGTTTTGCAAAATCAGCACCAACAACAACTTGATAGCTGGGTGAAGACATGGGCATTCCGCTGCATGTGAAGGGGAGGATCCCAAGGCTGTCGCCGATGTATTGATAATGATGTATAGTATAATGTATTGGCTTTCGTCTCAACCGATCTTCGGTGAAACTTTGATTGCCGCCGGCCGCGGTCCGGCAAGCTGCTTTGGGAAGGCCAATCAGACATGCTCCAAGCTGCAGTAAACAGTGCACACTCATAGTTGGACATAGAGAGGTACTGGAGCTTATCAAGCACACCCCATAAAGAAAGATACAGTGATAAAGCGGACACACGTTTCGTAAATCTCCGCCTAAACAGACTTGCAAACACACACAACTACCCTCATCAACTGTTACTCTATTTGGGTTTGAGGTGCTGTTGAGTGATGGTAGTCATGGAGCTAAAACACGATGATATTGAGGGTTGAATCCCAGCTGCATACTAGTGGGTAGAAACGGGTCGTGTGCAAAGAACAATATTGTGAGGGTGATACCTAGACTATACTTTTTCAGTTGAAACAAAGGACATATGGGTGATTAAACAAAGCATAACAAAGTGCTTATGACTTATGACCTTTTATGACGATCCTAAACGATGTTTTCGAAGTTCCTGCCGGCCATTTCTGGGCCCAGCGCGCCAATTCAGCATGGCATGTTCAAGGAACGGGTGCGACTGGTTTGGCTTGTGGCTGATGACTGGAGTGCGAGGTCGAGCCGAGAAAAAGTATCGGAGAGAAACACTGTGCTTTGCTTGCTTTGCTTTTCCGTGCAACGCGTGAAGCCGGTTTGGGCGAGTAGGGTGCTGAATTCTTAAAGAATTAAAGAAGAACGAACAAGAATGACAGAAACGGACAGAAGTCAAACATAGACTTCTGGAAGAGGATGTATCCTCTCCAAACCAATGTTTGTGTTTGTTGTGTGCGATGTTTTTCCTTATTCATGGTACTTCGATTCTGTCAGTCACTCCAAGCCCGGAAACAACGGCTGCAGCTTCAAAATTCAAACATTAGGGGGGTTGGCTGGGGAAAGCCTTTCGCAGTGGATCGACGATCATCACGTTTTTGCAGACTGAGAAGTGTGTTGCCAATTGGCCATGAGGTGTTGGCCAACATGGTTGAAGATGGTTGAAGGACGTGTCCTCACCCTCCAGGACCCCTTTTTGTTTCGGAAAAAGCTGGCGTGTCGTTCGGTGGAAAACGGTCCTTCGGTGGAAAAGGCAGGCTTCTTCCCTTCGGTGGAAAGCTCGCGCGGATCCCCCGAAGCTGCTCGGATCGAATTTTTTCGAGCATTGCGTTGTGTTTTCCATTTGATTTTGAACGCGGCTTTCCAGTCACTTCGAAGAAGTGCTGAAGCTCGCCTCCGATTTTTATTCTCAGCTTCCAGAACTGAGCTGAAGCAACTGAAGCAACATACTAAGCAAATGTCAAAAGGTTTGCATGCATGGGAGGTCTCTCTATATCGCGCTGTTTCCTTTTTTTTCCTTGGCTCTTTGGAAGCTGCAAATATCATTCTATGATGCTTTTGCTACATCGTCTCATTGGATTCTGCAGCTTCACTGCAGCTGGGAGGGTCGACGTGGCAGATCATGTCAGGGCAGAGATGTTCCGGACTAGTGATGTACCATCGGGATGCATGAAACATCGGGATGCATCCACCAAGGAGGAGGCAAAGGTCACGAAAACGTTTGGACTTGCTGGGATTGGAACTGGCACTCCTGGCCAGGAGCATGTTTTTGGGCATTGGAAAGGACAAAGCATGTCCACGTCGAAGACGTTTCTGGGGGTTCCTGGGTATGCGTGAACTCACATGAAGTAAGTCGCCCAAAAGTATGGAAGTGGACTCCAGTGGACATGGCATCCCTCTTGGATGTGCCACTTCAATGGTTAAGCCGGGACTTAACATGAGTTGAAACATGTTGACACCGTCATATCCTCAGGTTGGATGATTCCAACGATCTCCGGCGAAAACAGCTGCTGGGCGGATTATGAGTTAGTCGATGATGGGACTCGCCTTTCCAGCGTTTCATGCTTTCTTGGGAGCCTTCTCACCCCAGCAATGCATGGAATATTTGTTACTGCATTACACTCCCGAAAACTAACATAGACCCTGACAATGGCCCCCTGGAAGAGTGTTTTCTCTACCAACCAGTGGTTTTCAGGGTCCATGTTAGTCTTCCAGGGTGTATGTTGGCCCTCAAAACATCTTAGAACCATGTAAGTACCAGGACCATCCAGTGCCAATGGGTGACCAATGGACTACTTGGAGATCTCCATTGGACACCCATTGGATGGTCCAGGTATACATGGCATACATGTATTGTTGGGCCGTTGGGCCAAGACTCAGTGATTCAAAGGAGTGGACTGTCCTTGTCGGTGCGGTTGATCTGCTATCCATTTGCCGATTCGCAGCAGGAGCCACAACTAGGACTCACTATAGTTGATGGATGTTGATGATCTTTCTGAGGATGGGCACCGGAATTCTGAACCCGTCTAGGCTTCTCACCTCCCTCCAGTCACCCGCCTACATACAAAACATCAAACACTTGGATACCGCAGGATGGATTCAGTGACAGTGAGTCCGAGTCATTCCAAAGTCATTTCCTTTGTCTCCAGCGGCAAACGTTCCTGAACTGTATGGGGCACGTTCCTGAATTCTATGTGGCCGACGTTTGCTCAGAATGACCCAGCAAGCCCAGGACAGGGTTTTCCTTCAGGGTCAGAGGTTCCCCTGCTACGGTCATGAGGGTCGGGTTTGTACGGAGCGGATACGGATGCTTTTAATCTCCCATGAATTTGAGTCCTAAGGCCAGAATCAAACTGCCTTGTCCTCGCGGGGGGTGAGGCTCGTGTTGGGCAGGATTCGGCTGCCAGCTGGTCCTGGATTCCAGGGAGGGCCTGTGATTGAATTGCGTTCGTTCTAGACGTAAACCAACATAAAAGATCATTAAAGCCATACACCCTTCAGAAATCCTTGCCCAAATCACGGAGAACAAACTGGTAAGTGCTCGTGGTCAGGGGTATCTTGGGGTATACAGTATGACATCATATGACTACCATGGCCAGGTGGTTGACTATGCTTTGTGTTCATGCACAACGAGTGTGACATTGTGTTGTCAATTTGCACATGTGTTGTTAGAAAGCAGGGAGATTTACACTGTGTTTAAATGGGTGTGTCAAAAAACTGCTTCCTCAAAACGGCGCACGCAGCCCATCAGGGGCCGCCGCCTGCAGACCTGGAGGGACACCGTTGTGGCCGAATGTTTGCCAGGCGCGGGTTTACCACGCGTGCGTTTCGCTTCGCTGGTGTTCGCTAACAATGCAGACGAGCTGTAAGCTCTTCACATCACTGGTTCGTCTGTTCTCAGCTCTTCACATCACCTTTTGTCACCTCTTGTCATTGTTTTTGACATGTGTTCGGGGCAAGCAGACGAGCCCTACATCGAGAGAAGGAGTCCTACATCGAAAGCTCAGAACTGAGGCACAGCCAGGAGTTGTTGACGAAGTCTGAAGGAAGAGAAAGCGGCGATCTGGACGGAGTTGTCTTTCTCTCACCAGTGCGATTGGGTTTTCTATGGTGGTACATGGTGGTATACCTTTGAGATCCTAGTCATTGCCGCAGTAGCCGTTGGTTGGAGCATGTTGGATCATACAGGCCCAGAAAGGTGGTTTCCTTTGCAGAGATTGCGACCGACCTAATGTGTTTCCAGCGAGTTGGAAGGGCATCCTGCATCATATTAGTCCGACGGCTTTGTCACCACAGCAAATTGAACTAACAACAATACAAGGGAACTTGCCAGATTTGTTTGTTCAGGATGAGATCATCCTTTGATGAAAGATCCTGATCACCTCAACGAAGTATATACTCATTGTGCCAGAAGATTTTTCGATGTCAGCCCATGCAGAGGCTATATCGATGTCACAGATGGCAATGCCTACAAATGGTCTTGTGCACACTATTGCAATGGTGGCCGGAACCTGAGCATGGCCGGAACTCTCGTGTGGCGAAGGAACACATGGTAATAGCAATACTGCTGCGCAGTTGGATGTATGATTAGCTGCCTACCACATCCAATCACTATATATAACATGTATATTTATTTATTATAATGAATAATATGTAAATGCTCACATACATATACACATTACATAAATCCATGTTGCAGGGGTAACCCATTTCAAGGAAGTCCTGATATCAGATCATATTCCGCCCTTCGTTTGTCACTCGTGGCTGTTGGTTTGAAGAAAAGAAGGAGTATGTAATGCATGAGTATTGATTCTAAACTCCGGATTGCTGGTAGGCTGGGCTCGAG